TCCTCTCTGCACCTCCTTTGTTCATCCAGCCTAGACCACACTATCATCATCCCTTTCCACTGTGGGAAATTTTGCTGAACACTCTCATACCATGAACAGTATAGCCAGCTGTCATTTCAGGAGCTGGAAGCCAACATTAAATGTTTATAATATGGGAGGTATAAGTTCAGTGTCCCTTATTAGAGATGCTTGGGATGAGAGCATTTGCATACATATAATGAGGTATTTTAGGCATAGGACCTCAAGTCTAAACACAAAGTTTGTTTATTTCATATACTTCTTATACATGTAACCTGAAGGTATATGTGTAGCCTAAAATATTGTTAGTGTGCTTATGTTTTGATTGTGCCCATTACATGAAGTCAGATGTGTTTTTTTCCACTGTGGCATCATGTTGTTGCTCAAAAAGTTTTGGATTTTGGAGGACTTTGGATTTTTGAATTAGGAATGCTCAGCTTGTACTAAGTCTTCTTTGGGAGTATCTATAACTGGGTCAAAATGTGGAAATTAATGTCTTATGAATTGTAGATGATTCTAACCTTTAATCTTTTAAAACCTATTTCTTTTTACTTTCCTATAAATAACMCTTAAATAATAGATGAAAAATAAAACTACTTCTTCTATTTCCARTATTATATTAGTTTTCCTGATTTATAGGTGCTATTAGGAGCAAAAATATATTTGAGTAACATAAAGTTGAGATTTTGAAAAAGCACACCAAAGGAATTACAAGCTAATGATATATGTAGACACSATGTATTTGGGAGGTGTTCTAGTAATCAGCTTATTTCCTAAACCTGGTCTCTTTTCAAGACTCTTGTTCTCTGCTCAGGAGTTGGTACCATTGTCCATTCAATTGTATGAAACAAGCACTGGAGGTATCCTGGTGCTGCCTCTTTGTCCCACCACCTTGACTCTATCAGAAAGTCCTATGATCTGCTCTGTCTCTAGAGCCCACTTGCACCTCTTCATCTGGCTTCGTCTCTAAAACCACTCACACCTCTTCATTTCCCTCCATCTTTCACCCATTCACAACTCTTCATCTGCATCACTCTCACCCATTCCCCCATCTCCATCTCACTCCATCTCTCATGTCCATTCACACCTCTCTATCACACTCCATCTCTCATGCTCATTCACCCCTCTT